CCTCTAATGACTGCCCCAGGAGGTACAGATGAGCTGTGACAAGTGCAAGATGATAATGGTCCTTTGAAAAACCACAGCGAGCTGGGACAAGTGACAGGAGTTTATCCATAATCCCAGCTCTTGCAAGGCAAAGGCCCAAGGATTGCAAATGTCAGGCTGGCTTGGGCTACACAGACCCTGTCTCAAAATCAAATCAAATCAGAATAAAACAAAGGGAAAAAGGAAAGAAAAGAGAAATGCAGCGCAGAATTGGGTGCAGAGAGGAAGTAAAAGTCTTGTAAGACAGGTTTTATCATTGTGAATATATACCACTGAAATCCTAGCAACTCAGGAGGCTGAGGTCTGAGGATCCTGATTAGAAGCCAGCCAGGGTCGACAATTCGGACAGGCTTTGAATCTCCACTTAGCCAACAAAAAGATGGAAATGGAGATGTGGCTCAAGTGGTAAAAGCACCCAGCCTGAGTGAAAAAGGTAAGCAAGGGCATGGGGCTCTGAGTTCAAGCCCTTAGTACGATATTAAAAAAGAAAAAGAGATCACATCTGGTGAAGATGATAGGTAGATAGATGATAGGTTAGATAGATAGATAGATAGATCACTTGAGCTAAGGAGACAGGAGGTGAATAATAAGGGAGGCTGGAGAAGAGGAGTCTGCAGGAGGTGCTATGGGGAGCTGGGGAGACTCTTACAGTCTAGGGAGTATGAAGGATCTTGCCTGGAGAGGGACAGGAACTGCAGCTGACTTCTAAGGTCAAGTTTAGCAGGAATAGCTACTCTTCAGGACCTTGTTTTACTGTAAAACGTGAGTCAGTCTACAGTGCCCTAGCTCAGACTTAGGTCCAGAACTCTTCCCAGCTGTCTATCCCTGGCTCTCTCTGCATGGGTTTGCTTAACCTATTCTCGACAGATCCCTACCTGGGTAGCTTGACAGCCTCTTCCAGATAGAAGTGCCTGTCCCAACCAGCCTAGCGGCAGCAAGGAGCAATAAGTTTTGTGTGCTGCTGTCTTCTGTTGGGAAGACATCTTTGAAGAGTGAATATGACTTGGAGGGAAGGGAATGTTTCTTATTCCTGTTGGATAGAAATTACTGAAACTTGTGTAGGCTCATTATTCTATTTCTTCGCTGGCTGACAGTGTGAATTCCCAAATGATTGAAATTTGAAGTCCAAGTGTGTGCACACGTGTGTGTGTGTGTGTGTGTGTGTGTACGTGTGTGTGTATGTGTGTCTGCATGTGTGCCTGCGCGTGTGTGTCACTCATAGCAAGTAATAAAAAGTTGATAATATTGCCTGGTGCCAGTGATTCAGGCCTATAATCCTAAATCCTCAAGGTTCAAAGCCAGCCCAGGCAGACAAATCTGAGAGACTTATCTCCAACTAACCAGCAAAAAACAAAAAACAGGGCTGGGAAGGTGGCTCAGTGGTAGAGTGCTTGCCTTGCATGCATGAGGCCCTGGGTTCCATTCCTCAGCACCACTTAAGCAAAAAGCAAAAAGCCGGAAGTGGCGCTGTGGCTCAAGCGGTAGAGCGCTAGCCTTGAGCTGAAGAGCTGAGGGACAGCGGCCAGGCCCAGAGTTCAGGCCCCACAACTGGACCAAAAAAAACACACCAAAAACCAAAAACCAACAACAAAAAACCCCTGGAACTAGAGTTGTGGCCTAAGTGGTAGAGTGCCAGCTATGACAAGGCTCTGGGTTTAAGCTCCAGCACACAACACACACGCACATGCACACACACATGCACACGCACATGTATGTGCACACTAGACAGTAAAGGAAATAACGAGAATACTAAATTGTTTTTGTCGTTCACACAAAAGAATTTAGAGTTGTCTGTACAAGAAAATCAACTAAGTGGCGCTGTGGCTCAAGTGGTAGAACGCTCGCCTTGAGCTGAAGAGCTGAGGGGACAATGCCCAGGCCCAGAGTTCAGGCCCCACGACCCGGCCCCCCCCCCCCCCCCCCCCCCCCCCCCGCCAAAAAAAGAAAATCAACTAGTCTTTCCTTTTCTGTGTGACTGCAGCTTTTTTAAGGTGGCCAAAGTTGTTTTTTTTTTTGTCTGTTGTGGGGCTTGAACTCTGGGCCTGAGCACTGTCCTTGAGCTCTTCAGATCAAGGCAAGTGCTCTACCACTTGAGCCACAACACCACTTCCAGTTTTCTGGTGATAAGAGTCTCACTAACTTTCCTGCCCAGGCTGGCTTTGAACCATGATCCTCAGATCTCAGCCTCCCGAGTAGCTAGGATTACAGGTGTGAGCCACTAGTGCCAAGCTGAAGTTGCAAGATTTGTGTTCATATCAATTGAAGACACCTCATTTCCTGATTGACTCCCTTCCTTGGGGTCCCCTGTGGTCTCCCCAATGTGAAACACCTTGCAGGGTTGGCACCTAATGCTCTCAGGGGATGTTTATCAAATGAACAGAAGGAATTCATATGTTTCAGGTATTTGCTATGTATTTCCATGCTTGTGGTTCCCGTGGGTTGAACTGCTTGAATCTATGAATGTTTCAAGGACTCAATTATCTTTCTAACACAAGATCTGTTCTTGTATGTTTCTAGATTGTCAAAAGAAAAGATATACAAAGTGCAACTCTGTTTCTTGGATCAAAAAGAGCAACTTTGAAGTTCAGATGGTTCTATCTAGGCAGTTTCTATCTGCACAGTTAAGTTGAAAAAAACTGCTAGCTGAGAAACCATAAAGTATTATCATGATCTTTGTACCCCATTGCCTTTTTCTGATAAGAGAGAAGTGATTAAAAAAAAAAAACCCTAGGGATTCTCAGCAGTTTCTTGAACATTAAGGCTTTTTTTTTTTTTTTTTTTTTTAAATTAAAGTGCTGGCTATCTGTGAGTCCAAAGGCATTGTAGCATGCTTTCATATGGCCCTCAGTCACCCTCCTGAGCTCACCTACTATTTGTTAAGGAACAGGGGAGGATTCATGGATACTGTAAGAATTCCAAGAGGCACACTGTGTTTTATGTACTTGCCTAGGTTTGGGAGCAGAACCTTAGAAAGAAATGCTCCTTTTCTGACCCCTGGGGAACAACTCCCAGCAAGTTGGTCATAATCTATTGTGTGGTGTAAAGGGATTCAGAAATAAAAGGCAAGGTTCTGCAATGAGTGTGAGCAAGTGACCTTAGTCTAAAGCAGATTGAGCCCAGGAGGGTGGAATGGTTTATGGTATCTTGCTTTTCCCTCCCTCCCTCCTTCTCTCCCTCCCTCTCTCCCTTTCTTCTCTCTCTCCTTCCTTCCTTCCTTCTTTCCTCTCTTTTTCTGGGCCTTGAACTTAGGGTCTCATGTTCTCATTTGGCTTTTTCACTCAAAGCTAGAGCTCTAGTTCTTAAGCCATACCTCCACTCTGGCCTTCAACTGGTTAACTGGAGATAATAGTCTCTCAGATTTGTCTGCTTGGGTTTTCTCTATTTTTTTACCTCCTTTCTCTTGTTGTTCCAGTCTGGGGCTTGACCTCCTGGCCTTAGCCTTTTCTTCTCTCTGTGTGTCCTTCTCTGTGTCTGTGTCTGTCTGTCGGTCAGTATCTCCCTCCTCCTCCCTCTTCTGGGTGTGTTCTGGTACAGGGGCTTGAATTCAGGGCCTGGACTCTGCCCCTGAGTTGCACAAGGGGGTACTAGTTGAGCCACAGATCTACTTTGGGCTTTTTGTATGTTAATTGGGGATAAGAGTCTTCAGGCTTTCCAGCCCTGGATGGCTCTGAACTGCAATCCTCAGATCTCAGCCCGAGTAGCTAGGACTACAGATGTGAGCCACCAGCACCACTGCTGTGCAGACTCTGCTGCCTCAGAGCACACGCTACTCTTCCCCTTCCACACTGGCCTGATTTGACCTCCAGGTCAGCGAGGCCTTCCTCCTACCTCCTTTGTCAGCCTGTGCGCCTGGAGGCTGACCTGGAGGGAGAGGCTGCCTTAAAAGGCTCTTAGGGCCTCTGGCTTCCTAAAGATGAAACTGTCCTGTGGGGAGAGACTTTGTGCAACGCACTCAACTCCCTCGAGGATGACCTTGGCCCGAAGGTGGCCTCTCCTCAGACTCCCCTCTCGGTGGGGGTCTGCAAACCCCACCTCCAGCCCTCAGGTCTAGGCCTGGCAGCAGCCGGAGGATCCGGCTCCACGTGTGGTGTCCGGCTGACGTATCCCCACGGGTAACGAGGGCGCCCGTTCCCCACCGACATCTTCGCTGACTGCCCTGGGGGGGGCCAACCGAGCACAGACACGTGACCCGGTCCTCCGCGAGCAGTGGCTGTCAATCACCAAGCGCAAGGGCCCCTGGGTGGTACCAGGACCGGACGGCCCCTCCTCTGTCGGACACCTCCGCACAGACTCCTCTCCGACTTCTAACTCACTATGCACAGCGCGGTGCTCGAAGCGAAAGCCACCTTCCTCCTCACACGAGGTGAGTCTGCAGTCCCATTTCACGTGCTGACTTTCATGTCGCACGCGAAGGGCAGCGCGACTCAACAGCGGTCTCGAGCAGGTGGTCAGTGCGGTGTCCAGCTGGGCCGGGCTGGTGACCTGGCTCAGACGCACGCGACAGTCCAGGCCCGGGGACAGCGCTGGCGTGCTCATCCCTCCTCCGCACAGGCTCTGCTAGGCAAGGACTGGAGGTGGCGTCCGCCGTCCCGCACTGGTTCCTCGAAACGCAGAGGGCTCGCGGAGGCGAGCAGCCTTTGCATCCCTTCGAGGCCCGTCTTCCCCTGATCGGGTACCGATCACCGGTCCAGGGCGCGGTACCACACCCGCCCGCCCGGCCAGCGACGAGCAGTTCCACGCCGCGCGCGCCCCAGCGGCCCGGACCAGCGGCCCGGACCAGCGGCCGGGTGGGCGGGGCGAAGGTAAGGCTCACGCGATTGGTGCTCGGCCTCCCGCCTCAGCCAATGGATGGCGAGCGCGGCCCGGGGCGGGGCGGACGGCGCGTCTTAAGCAGTGTGACGCGCCCCGCAGCAACGCGCCGCTCAGCTCCGTCCTGACGCTGCCGCCCCGGGTCCCTCCTGTCTCCGCGGAGCTCTCAGGTACGGCGGGTGCCGTGTGCTGGGGCTGGGGGCGTCGGGCTGCGGATCCCGGCCGCTTCGGGGGATTCTCGTGGCGCGCTGGGCCTCAGCCGGCGCGTAGGTCCGGGCTCCGAGAGGCTCCAGCCGGGCGGCCTGGAGCCCCCCGCCGGAGGGCAGCTGCGGCGGGCGGGGGCCCGGCGCGCCCCGGGGTCCTGGCAGCGGGCGGGCGGGCTTGGGACCCGGGGGACCGGCTCGAGCGCGGCCCGGCGACGCGCGGCCCGGCGAGGCTGCGGATGTGGCACCGCCGCCTGCCAGATCGGGCGGAGCCGACCGGCCCCTGGCCCGCTGCCCACGGGGGCCGAGCCTCCGCTCCCTCCGTCCCGTGCGCCCGAGGCTCTTCCCTCTCAGGCCTCGGGGTTTCCGGAAAGCAGGCGCCCGCCCCGGGCCCAGCGGGCCCCCTCGGTCCCGGGGGTCCGCGGGGACGGCGCTGGCTGGATACCGGAGGACGGCGCGGTCCTGCGGTGACAGTGACCCCCAGGAGGGGGCGCTGCTGCGGTTACCGAGGAGTCCACCTCGTCTCCACCGCGGGCCCCGCCGCCGGCCCGGCTGCGGCCTCCCCCCCCCCCCCCGCCCTCCTCCCCCCGCCACCGCCCTCCCCCCTCCACCGTCCTCCTCCTCCCCTCCTCCCAGCTATCTCCTCCACCCCAACCCCCGCCACTCCCTCCTCCACCGCCGTCCCCCCTCTTCCCCGCCCTTCTCCCTCCCACTCCCTCCTCTCCCTCCTCCCTCCTCCCTCCTCCCCGCCACTTCCCCGCTACCTTCTCCATCCCTCCTCCCCCCCCCCCCCATTCCCTCCCAGCCCCTCCCTTTGTCCTGATTCCAGCGGGATGGGGACTGTAGATCGCCAATTAAATGCTGTCCGGGGATCGCAGCCTGGACGCCTCATCTTAGGGCTAATTTGCAAACGTTCCTGAACGCGAGTACGTGCTAGGTATTTCCAGCTGAACGCCTCGCCGCCTGCGTCTCCGGTCTTCCTCGGTGTGCAGCTTTTCCTTTTGGATGCATTAAGGGGTCCGGGCGAGGAGTTTTACCTTAAATTATTGATCTCCAATTTCTCTCTTACCAGGGTTTCAAGTAGGTAAACGAGTTCCTTCACTTGAACCGGGAGCTGTTCCTTAGATTGCAATCCAAAGTCTTTGATGCACTTGAAATGAGCACTGGGTTTCTTTCCTTGGGATTTCCTGAGGAAAAAAAAGCTAGTAGGGAAGCTAGTTCGTAACTGAAGAAGGTGAAAAATAGTCTATTAACAAAAACAAGATTTAAATAAGTTTTCCGTTAAAGTTTTCCAGGGTGTTTTTGCACTCCCACAACGCTCCTCTTCCCAAGTTTTAGAAAATTATGCTGCTTGTTTTTGGCCACGAGGTCTCACTGTGTAACCCAGCTGCTCTGGAATTTGCCATCTTCCTCTTTCAGTCTGCACCACACTCACTTTAACAATTGTATTATTAATTCAAAAGGTTGTACAAGGGCTAGGAAGGTGGCTCAGCGGTAGAGTGCTTGCCTTGCATGCATGCATGAGGCCCTGGGTTCGATTCCTCAGCACCACATAAGCAGAATAAGCCGGAAGTGGCACTGTGGCTCAAGTGGTAGAGAGCTAGCCTTGAGCTGAAGAGCTGAGGGACAGCGCCCAGGCCCAGAGTTCAGGTCCCACAACCGACAAAAAAAAAAAAGGTTGTACAAGATAATGTAAGAAATTTTAAGATGGTATTTACCCTTTTTAAAAATTTATTGTAAATGTGATGTACAAAGAGGATGTTACAGTTGCATAAGTTAGGTAAAGAGTACATTTCTTTTTAAGATTTTTTTTTCCCTCAAAGAGACATCTATCTCCTACATTTTGGGGAAGAACTACTTTTATTACAGGTATTTGTGTGCACATTTGACACACTTTATGGAGCTCTTGAGGATGGGTCCAACCCGTACATGTGAAATAGTAATGAATTGGTGGAATTTTGGAGGTATGTGGAGGGTGCCATGTGTTGACCGAGTTACCCCTCCCTCCTTTTTTATGCTGGTTCAGGGCCTGGTGCTGTCCTTAAGCTTTAATTTTAATTTTTTTTGCTAAAGGCTGAGCTCTATTACTTGAAGCACAGCTCCTTGTCCAGCTTTTTGTGGTTATTGGAGACAAGAGTCTCACAGGCTTTCTTGCCTGAATTGGCTTTGAACCTTGATCCTCAGATCTCATCTTACTGAATAGCTATGATTACAAGTATAAACCACTGGTGCCAGGCTCTAATCCCTCTAGTAATTCTTTCATTGTTTGTCATTGATGTGCGTGAGTTGAAATTTAGCCAGAGTATTGATTACATAAAAAACACTTAAAAAGGAGGCCCGTATTTGTGAATGCTTACCTCTAGAAAAGCAAATATTTGGCAATAGCAAAAACAAATTTACTTCTCAAGTTGAATATTTTCAATGGCTTTTGATGACTTTACCCAGGTTATTCTTTTAGAGTAATTAAAAAAACAACTAGTATTTAAACATGTAGGCCAAACAAACTTTCAAAAGCAGCTTTTGGAACTATATTGTGGAGACAGAGTTGGTTGGGGAATGAAGTAATAATGGTAGTCCGAAGCTCTGTTTCCTCTGTGCTACTTCCACACTCTGTGTTAAAAGTGCATAGCTTGTCCGGAGCAATTTGTTCTCATTCCAGGGCCTGAGTATGCTTTTGATGTGTGACAGGGCTTAAAGCATACAACATACTATTTTGACATTTGAAAGCCATTAGGTCTGGCCTGGTGAGTTCTTGTTGAAAAGACAACTGTCAGATGAGTTCACTTAGGGAAGTCTCTTCATTAACTCATCTTGGTTAGCAACCATAACTGGTGACCTATCTCTCTTGATAGGCATTCTCATCTGCTGTTGACTCTTGAGTGTTTTTTTTTCCTTGTGGTGGAACTGGGGCTTGATCTAAGGGCCTCATGTTATATCACTTGGCTCTTTCGCTCTCAAGGCTTGTGCTCTACCACTGGAACCACATCTCCACTTTTAGCTTTTTGCTTGTTAAGTGGAGAGAAGAGTCCTTTAGATTTTTCTGCCCCAGCTGACTTTGAACTGACTTCCTCAGATCTCAGCCTCCTGAGTAGCTAGGATTATAGGTGAGTCACCAACTCCCAGCTATTAAGAAAAAAAACTTAAACATACAAATATATACATATAGTTATATATGTATATATAGCATATATGTTATATATAACATAACATATATGCTATATATACATGTATGTATGTATGTATTTTTGGCTAGTACTGGGATTTAAACTCAAAAATTTATACTTGCTCATTTTGCTTACTGGCTTGACACTCTACTACTTGAGTTACCCCTCTAGCCCAGCTTTTTTGGTGGTTATTTTGGAGATGGAGTCTTCCTGCGTAGGCTGGCTTCAGACCTCAATCAAGAATTACAGGGATGAGTCACTGGTGCCTGGCTGAAAAATAATTTTTTTTAAAGAAAAAAAATCCACTTTATAAAAAGAAACCATTGCACTGTTGATTTTTTTTTTTTTTTTTAATACTGTAGAAATTGGCTAGTGCCCTTGTGAATTTAAGGATAGAAGGAAGCTAAATGAATGGCCACTTTGTTGCTGGGCTTGCAGCTTTAACATAACTCTTCAATCCTCCCTAACTCCCTGGAATGACTTGCCTCTTTTTACAAGGAGAAATTGAAGCTCAGACACATTGATAAAATCTCCTGAAAATACTCTTCAGAGCCCCCTGACAGAATTTAAATCCTGGTCACCAAACTCTTAGTACTTCCCTCTCTATGATTTTTCTAAAGCTGTTTGGCAAAAGTATTATTGATGTTGGCTATTTTAAAGCACATCTTAACTCTAATATTTCTCAGGTGGTGCCAACCACAGATTCCTGAACACTAGTGTTGTGTCTGCAGGACTCGAGACAAGGTGCTGCATACAACACCAAGACCTTTCCCAGTTCATCTTTAACAATGGGAAGGACGACTATTACTAATTAATTTACTTTTTTAAAATCCTGAATGAAAATAAATACAAACTTATTTGTTAATTTGTCACTATAAATTACTCTTTAATGAAACTGCCTGAGTTGGCAGAAAAATTGAATTTGCATTCCATTTCAAAATGAAAATGTTGACTTTACATAGTCTCAGAGATTCTTTCTCTTGCCGTCTTTTTTATTTGCTTTGTTTTATTTTTGAGACATGGTCTCACTATGCAGCCCAGGCTGCCGAGTGCTGACGTTACCGAGATCCCCTTCCACCCTCAGTCTCTTGCAGTCTTTTATCAGCTTGTTAACTGAAAGATAATCTTTGGAGTATGTTTTATTTTTCTCAAAGTAACATTTTAAAATATGCTTTATTGTCTGTCTCCCCGCCATTGTGATATCACAGAGCTACAGGCCTTGGTAGCAAAATCATCAATAGAGAATAGATTTTCTGTTAGACTTCCATCCAATTCCAACTTGTGGACCTGATTAGCATAATCAGGATTTTCTTAGAGGTGCACTGGGCTGGACTGAGCCAGGAAGCTTTGGGGAGGATAATGGGCTTTGCCAGCACAGGGCTTCTGCTTCAAGTGTCTGCTGCAATTTGTTTTTAATTTTGTTTCTGACAAGTTTATTTGGCAAGTTTTGTTATGAAATTTTAAATTTGAGAGTAAAAATAAAAGATGAAAATGCTGCTTTGATTTTTTTTTTTAAGACTTCACTCTCTTAGGAAAGTGACTTCCATCTGCCTTTAATGACATGAGTTTCTCAAAGCCTGTTAGTCCTTTCTTTTAGTTTTGTTGGTTGCCTGACTTTACTCCTTATCAGACAACCCAGGCAGACATTCGGTTTGTGCTGGTGTTTCTTTCTGGTCATAAATGTATGTAATTTATGGCTATGGTAGAAAATGTGGAAAATAATTGTTCAGAGACAGCCACAGTGGCCTTTTCAAATCTCTTTTGTTACAGTTTTTCCTTGTAAGGTTTGTATAGTTGAGTATCGTACATGTGTATAATTATTCCTCTCTCCTAATCCCTCTTCTTTGACCTCTTATCCTCTCTCTCTCTTCTCCTTTTTTTAATTTTGCAAGTCCTGGGGCTTGTGAACTCAGGTACTGTCCCTGAGCTTCTTTTGCTCAAGGCTAGTACTCTACCACTTGAGCTATAAGGCCACTTCTGGCCTTTTCTGTGTATGTGGTACTGAGGAATCAAACCCAGGGCTTCTTGCGTGCTCGGCAAGCACTCTACCACTAGGCCCATTCCTAGCCCCTCCTTTTTTTTTTTTAAAGATAAGGTCTTGGTATTTTGCCCAGATTAGAATCAGACTCCTGATCTTCCTGCCTCAAAGTCTGAGTGCTGGGATTATAGGCCCACACAACAACCCTTATAATCTTATTTTCTTTACTTAAACATATTGTAAAATACCCTTACCATGTCATTAAAAGTTTAATAAATGATTAAACATTAGTATATATATATATGATTATATTGAATTGTTCTGATATTGTTGAACACTTTTTATGTGCCAATATTTCTCCATATTCCTGAATATTTCTTTACAATAAAATCATGGGAATAAAATTGAGTTAAGTACAAATATTTTGAAGGCTTTTATAATGGTTACAACTTGTGCTCAGAAAGATGCCTCCTTCTAGAGTACTGCTGAGTGTAGCTTTGGTCCTGAGTACTTTTTTTTTTTTTTCTAATTTTCTAATTTGATTTTTTCCTAATTTTTTTTTCTAATTTGCTAGGCGAACACTAATGTTGCTTCAATTTTTTTTTTTTTTTGGGTCTGGTCGTGGGGCTTGGGCACTGTCCCTCAGCTCTTCAGCTCAAGGCTAGCACTCTACCACTTGAGCCACAGCGCCACTTCCGGCTTTTTTTTTTGCTTATGTGGTGCTGAGGAATCGAACTCAGGGCCTTAGGCATGCAAGGCAAGCGCTCTACCACTGAGCCACTTTCTCAGCCCCGCTTCAATTTTTTTTAAAACCAGTTCTGGAGCTTGAACTCAGAGCTTGGGCACTATTCCTGAGCCTCTTTGTGCTCAAGGCTAGCACTACCACTTGAGCCACAGTGCCATTTCTGGCTTTTTCTGCTTATGTTGTACTGAGGAATTGAACTCAGGGCTTCATGAATGCTAGGCAAACATTCTATCACTAAGCCACATTCCCAGCCCTCAAGTTTTTTGTAAGTCCAACAGTTACCCTAGATTGAGTAGAACATAAAGTCCTGAGAAAGAAATTGTAAGTCAGCTCCTTAGACCTAGCAGTGGGGAATTCTGTTTAGAACTTGGACATTTTGCTGGCAACAGAGTGATTCTTCTGTGGCTTTTTATTTTTTGTTTTCTGGTTGTAAATACACATCAATGTGAGCTAAGATTTAATGGAAGTTATAGAGCTGCTCTTTATAAAATGGGGGTGATTGGACCCCCTGAAGTTTCTTCTTGGAGCTCTGGTTACAAATCTGTTCTTGAGGGAGGAGTGAGACCTTGGCGTGCCAGTGTGCTGCGTTTATTTTGCTTAGTAATTGAAAATTCTTGAACACACTGGACTTGCTGGGTAGAGCCAAGTTGAAAGGGAAGTCAGCCAGGCTGTAAGTACTATGTTTTGCTAATTTGGCAGCTCAGCTCCAGGATGCGGTGAGATCCTGCATGGTTTGACTTGTTTTTGAGAATGCTCTGTTGAAACACAATTGGACTTGTCTGTGTGAAAATAAGGACAGTAAGTCTACCTGATTCACTGATTTATTACATAGTTTGGGCCAAGTGTTAATCTAAATATAACACATTTCAGAACCAAAAAGATTTAAATTCCCATGTATACATTATATAGCTGTCAGTCATTAGTTGTATTGAAATTGTTGTGTGACCTGCTGAGGATTTGCCTGCGCTTAATATTGTGAAAATGTGCCTCCCCAAAGCAAGTGGTGCCTGCCACGCAAGGTGAAAGTGAATGTGCCAGTCAAGTGATGGGGGGGAATGTGAGCAGTATTGAAATGTCATGCCTTTAGAGGAAGTTGGGTGGCATTATGGGAAAAATGAATCCAGCAGCCCCAGTTCAGGACAGCACTGAACTCTGGACATCTTGAGCTTGTGTGGGTTTTCTTCAAGGGCCGAATCCTTGCAGATACCTAGGATTTCCTATACACACACACACACACACACACAATTTTTACACATATTCCCTCATTTCCTTTTCCCAGTTTCTCATACCTAGTCCTTTCTCATGGCTTGTGGTGCGGATAGTGGGCTAGGCGACACACTGGTGGCGGGTGGGGGCTGGAGAGGGTGGACACACCAACTTGTCAGTGTCTCTGGATGCTCAGCTTTCAATTCTGAACTTCTTACAACAAACCCAACTGTAGTTTGATGTTCTCCAGGACCAAATTATCTTTTTCTCCTTCAAGCAGTTTTTTTTCCTGGTATGTGTTTTTTGAGGGCTGGCATGGGAAGGAGGAAGGAGTTCTCTAGAAACAGCCACCCTGGCAGAGTAGATTGTTTCTCTCTGGGCTGAGGCACTGTTTCTGAGCTCTTCAGCTCAACGCTAGCACTCTACCACTTGAGCCACAGAGCCACTTCTGGTATTCTGGTAGAGATTGTCTCATGGATCTTGTCTGGGCTGGCTTTGAATCCTGATCCTCAGATCTCAGCCTCCTGAGTAGCTAGGATTTTAGGTATAAGCCACCAGTGCCTGGCTACTTTTCTGTCAGTTCTATTGCGGAGCCACTCATCCAGCCTATTTTTGTTTGTTCAACTTCTTGGTAAAGCTCTTTAAGACTCTTCAAAACATATTTTTCCCTAGGCTTCTTTTACGATGTATAACACACATCTGCCCTTCTTTGTTTATGATACATTTGGCTGCAAAGGTTTTAGATACTTGTGGCTAAATGGCAGATTATAATTTTTATGGTTTCTGTCTTTGGTGTTAAATTCTTTGCATCTCCCTAAAGTCACCACCCCCCCATATCCAAATGTTTGTTCGTTTTTTCTCCTCTTTTTGGGATGATCTCTAGTTTTGTGAAGCCAAATTCTTTCCTAATTGCTTCATTCCTACATATCAGAACAGAGTCAAATTGCAAAATAGAAGGTGGGGGTGGAGATCCCATGATTGCCGCAGAAGCCTCTGGGCTGCTCTCTCTCAGAATTGAACTTCTCTGGGCTGATCTCCCTTTCTCTGATCTTTTCTTTGCTCTGCAGTGGGCACTGTCTGCTAGGATCACGCTGGAGTCAGACTGCTGATGCTCAGCAGATGCCTCTGAGCACACATGCACGAAGCCTGGGCATGTTCTTACTCTTAATGTCTTTGCTTTCGTTTGGACAGGTCTGTGGTTTCTCACCAGAAGGACACACAATGTTCTCCAAACTAGCACATCTAAAGACCGTGGCTGTGCTCCGTCGAGGAGTTCACATTTCAGTGGCTTCTGCCACGTCGGTTGCAGCTAAAAAGACAGTGCAAGGCCCTCCGTCCTCTGAGCACATTTTTGAACGGGAAGCGAAATATGGTGCACACAATTACCATCCTTTACCCGTGGCCTTGGAGAGAGGAAAAGGTATGTTCTGAAAGACCTCCTCCCACCCAGTAAAAATTAGCTGCTTTGATATGTTCTCAGTGTCCATTTTCCCAGATGCATCGAATGTCTTAGTTCCTTCAGTCTTTCTGATTGACTAGTGGAGCGGTCTCAGGTGCTACAGGGCACTGGTGATCCATCACAGGTGGCTCCCCAAGAAATATGGAAAGTGCTGTTCTCCTCTGCCTCGCTGTCATTTTTTTCTGATTAGCTTTTATTTTGGTGTGATTTTAGTTAAAGGATATAAGCACTTGTGTTTAATTTATCACAAAGCCTTACAGACACAGGTGCAAACAGTAAGTCCTCTTTTGCAACCCAGAACTCATTGCTGAATATGAGATTTTTGGTACACGTAAGAAGGAATATGATTCCTACAACAGTTGGCAATGTGGGATTGGTTCACTCACATAGGTTGGCTCTGAGAAGAAAGTTGATGTAAAAGCTAAAAAAAAAAACCAGTTGTGCTCATGCCTGTAATCAACTAGTTGGGAGTTGGAAATGTTAGTTAGATCCTAACCGAAAGTCACGGTGGTGCGTGACTGTGTATGCTCAGCTTCACAGAGGCAAAGGTGGGAGAATCGCGGTCCATGGCTGGCCCCAGGCAAAAAGTGCAAGACCCTCCTTGAAAAATAAATAAAAAATGGGCAGAAGGCCTAGCTCAAGTGGAAGAGTGGCTGCCTAGCAGGACACGGCTCTAAATTCAAGCTTCAGTACCTTTAGGAAAAAAAACCAGTATGACAGCACTAGTGTAATGTGTCTTCTACTCTCACCCAAATTTCTTGTTCTGTTTTTTTTTTTTTTTTTGGGTTGGTCGTGGGGCTTGAACTCTAGGCCTGGGTGCTGTCTTTCAGCTTTTTAGCTCAAGGCAAGCATTCTACCACTTGAGCCACAGCACCACTTCCAGTTTTCTGGCGGTTTACTGGCGATAAGAGTCTCATGGACTTTTCTGCCCGTGCTGGCTTTGAACCGCGATCCTTAGATCTCAGCTTCCTCAGTAGCTAGGATTACAGGCATGAGCCACTGACGCCCGGCTCCTGTGCTGATATTTGAAGTTTTGTTTTGTGCTCTCTTTCTCCCCCTTGTCAGCAATATTTTATATTATTTCCTGAGCTGTGAAAGAAGAAACTGCAGACAGGGAATCTCTTCACACCTAGATGCTTAGTGTACCCTTCCTCTGATAAAGCCCAAGGACTTTATCTTTTTTTTTTTCTTTTTTTTTTTGGTCCGGTCGTAGGGTCTGCACTCTGGGCCTGAGCACTGCCCCTCAGCTCTTAGCTCAAGGCTAGCTCTCTACCACTTGAGCCACAGTACCACTTCCAGCTTTTTTCTTTTTGCTTATGTGGTGCTGAGGAATTGAACCCAGGGCCTCAGGCATGCAAGGCAAGCGCTCAACCACTGAGCCAACTTCCCAGCTCGGACTTTATCTTTTATAAGCACATGATTATCAAAATCAGGGAAGGAACACTGACACAGCACCATCATTTATAATCTAGATCTAACCTCATAATAAAGGAAAACTTCAGATTGTAAGTCACATCCACCTGTAAGATTTGTCTTTAAGACAGAACAACTCTTTCCCTCCTCCCTCTTTCTTCTTGTCTTAGCTCATTAAAAGCTGTCATTCTTTTTTTAGCAGCTGTATCATTTGAGGTTTCCAAATTCTTCACATCTGCCCTTAAAAAAAATTGTAACCAAGCTGGATACCAGTGCCTCTAATCTAGCTACTCAAGAGGCTGAGATCTCAGGATCACGGTTCAAAGCTGTCCAGGCAGGAACGTCCTTGAGACTCCAATCTCCAATTAACCAACAGAAAACCAGAAGTGAAGTGGTAGAGCACTTGCTTTAAGCTGAAGAGCTCAGGGATAGTACCTAGACCGAGTTCAAGACCCACGATTGACCCAAAAAAAAAAAAAAAAAAGAAAGTAACCACACAAGTGTTATGAGGTAGTGTTTCATGGGAGTTTTGATTTACATCTCCCTGATGACTGGTCAGGTTGAACTTGCTGTACATTTGTGGATCTGAAGAAGTATCTATCAAGTTACTTGCCCAACTTTTCTTTCTCTTTTTGGCAGTACTAGAGTTTGAACTGAGCTTCATGCAAGGCAAGCACTCTACTGCTGAGTATACCTCTAGCCCTTTTTCGCCCTGGTTATTTTTGATAGGGTCTTTCTTCCTGTAGTGCTTCTGGACGATGGCCTGGACCTCTAATTTGGGCTTCCTGTTGTAGCTGAGATGACAGGTGTATGGCCGCCACACCTTTCTTCCATGAGCTGGGGTCTGGAGGAATTGTCTGCCCAGGCTAGCCTGGAACCATGATCCTCCCAGTCCTTCCGCTCTCAGCCTCTCATGTGGTTTAGGAGAATCATCAGGCACTCCCTCATCTATCTCTCTGTTGGAAGGTGGTCTGCCCAGGTTGGCCTAGAATTGTGATTCTCTCATCCAGCCTTTCAGGTAGCTAGGATTGTAGGTGTGAACCACTGGTACCTGGCTGGACTTGGATTCTTCGGAGCAGTAATCCCAGCAGTATTATTTTGAGAATACTTTCTTTATGTAATCACACCCATGTAGATAAGGCTTTAAATATTTAATAGAGTGTTTACCCCTGTACAAATGGGAAAATTAAGTTTTTTTTGAGGAACTTCCATAGGTTCCCATAAGTAGCTGGATGTGTTTATCGTTCCACCAGTGGTGAATAAGAGCCTCTGTTTCCCCCCATCATTGCCAGCATTTGTTACTTTTTTTTTGTTGGTCGTGGGGCCTGACCTCTGGGCCTAGGCACTGTCTCTCAGCTCTTCAGCTCAAGGCTAGTGCTCTACCACTTGAGCCACAGTGCCACTTCCAGCCTTTTTATTTTCTTCTGTTTATGTGGTGCTGAGGAATTGAACCCAGGGCCTCATGTATACAAGGTAAGCCCTCTACCACTGAGCCACTTTTCCAGCCCCCCCCCCTTTTTTTTTTGTCAGTTGTTGGGCCTGAACTTGGCCTGGGTGCTGTCCCTCAGGTCTTCAGCTCAAGACTAGTCCTCTACCACTTGAGCCATAGTGCCACTTATATGTGGTGCTGAAGAATCAAACCCAGGTTTTCATTCATGGGAAGCAAGCACTCTACCACTGAGCCACCTTCTCAGCCCTGTTATTTGTTTTTTGATGGTGGCCATTCTGACGGGGTTGCGGGGGTGGGGGGTGGAATCTCAGTGTAGTTGGTGCCAATCTCTGATGGCTAAGGATGTAGCACAGTTTTTCTAAAAATGTATTTATTGACTATTTCTACTTTTTCATTTGAAAAGTATTTATAGTTCATGTACCCATTTTTTGACTGGTTTATGTGTTTGGTGTTTATTTTTTTTGAGTTTTTTATATATGTTGGATTTTAATCTCCCATGGAGTAAATGTGGGCTCTTATAGTCTACTTTTTATGATTGTTCTGTTATGTATCACTCCTCTGTTTTTAAATTCTAATTTAGGCTCCTAAATGTTAAAATTATCCTTCCAGAGTTTATGGCTTTTTATGGTATTCTTGTAAAATGTGTATTTTGGAGATAGACTGATAGAATATATACTTCGTAATTTCTTATAAACTGCCAGGTGCAGTGGCTACTTATGAGGCAGAAATCAGGAGATCGAGGTTCAAAGAATCTGGCAAAATGGTTGCAAGACGTTATCTTAACTGACAAAAAGCTAGTTGTGCTAGTGTGTGCCTGTTGTGCCAGTTAGGTAGGAAGCACAGGCTTGTCTAGGTAAAAAGTGAGACACTGTTTGCAAAAAAGTGAAAGCAAAAAGGCCTTGAGAGAGGGGCTTAAATAGTAGAGCACTTGCCCAGCAAAGCCTGAGGTCCTGAGTTCAAATTTCACTATTAAAAAAAAAAACCCGAAAAACAAATGTATATCTATCAATTTATTATGCTTGAGCTAAAACAAATCTTCCTCATAACATAAAGAGGACTTTGGACTTTGGCATACAGTAGCTTTCTAAAGTCATTTTCCTTCCCTGTGCACTTTAGGTATCTACGTGTGGGATGTAGAAGGCAGAAAATACTTTGACTTCCTGAGTGCCTACGGTGCCGTCAGCCAAGGGCACTGTCACCCCAAGATTGTGAATGCCCTGAAGACTCAGACAGACAAGCTGACCTTAACGTCTCGGGCATTCTACAATAATGTTCTTGGTGAATATGAGGAGTACATTACTAAACTTTTCAACTACCAGAAAGTGCTTCCTATGAATACAGGTAAAGCATTTGCTCATTGCTGAATAACGTCCAAGAAAACAATCACATTTTCTGATGGGTTAAAATACCGACATCTGAGCATTTCCCCCCATAGGAGTAGAGGCCGGAGAGACTGCCTGCAAGCTTGCCCGTCGGTGGGGTTACACTGTGAAGGGCATTCAGAAATACAAGGCAAAGATCATTTTTGCAGGTAGGTGAGATTAAACATCGACGAGTAGGATTTTAAACATACAACATCATTTACTATTTAAATTTATTGGTGAAATATTCCTAGGGCTGGGAATATGGCTTAGTGGTAGGGTGCTTGCCTAGCATGCATGAAGAAGCCCTGGGTTCAATTCCCAGTACCACTTAAACAGAAAAGGCTGGAAGTGGAGCTGTGTCTCAAGTGGTAAGAGTGCTAGCCTTGAGCAAAAGAAGCTCAGGGACAGTGCCCAGGCCCTGAGTTCAACCCCAGAACTCGCAAAAGAAAAAGAAAAAAGAAAAAAATTCCTAATGTGTTTGCTTGCTACATCATGTTATTTACAGAATGGTTTTATATTTTTATGAATAAAAATTGGTGAGGGATTTCCTCTTGGATTTTTTTCCTTATTATGAGCCTTTTCTCCTTCTCCCTCCTTCCCTCTTTCCCCACTCCCTCCCTCCCTCCCTCCCTCCATGGGTACTGGAGATCAAACCCAGAGCCTTGTGCATGTAAGCTGTATCACTAATCTATATTTGAGCCATATTTGAGTCTTAATATTGGACGTGCCTTTGTGCCAGGTTCTTAGGGGTTGTTGGGAAAAAGTGCCCTGAAGTAGTTTTGTCAACTTCTGGGCATGGTTAATTGGTCTGACTTGAACTTTGGGAATCTTTATATAATGTCCAAATGCTACGTAAGTTCTGACATCACAAGCTTTGATTTTTAATTAAAAAAAAAAACTAAGCATGTATCCATTTACTATTGTAAAGATTAAATTCATGCTTACAGTCATTTAAGATCATTAAATATGTGGCCCTGTGCACACACAGTTCAGTTATAAACTGTGTAACATAATAGATCAGAGTTCAGTTGCTGGTGAGAGGCAGTTGGCATTGGAGGTGACAGATTAGTGTTTGCAAAGAAGAACTCTTCATGCAGTGCTGTAACATGGCACTTTAAAATCTTGTGTCTTAGTTGTAGAACAAAGTAACTGTCTCTTGTGAAATGATATTTCTGGTGATTTTCCTTCTTACGGACTGTGTCCAGTCTCTTTCATGTTAGCAAAGGGTGCAAAGATGTTTTCACCTGAGTATTGAAAGAAGCTGGTGAGTCAGTGGGGTGGAGAGACAGCGGAAGACTGTCCTCAACTGGAAGTCCCATAGCCCTGCAGGTTGAGCTCCAGAGGATGAGACTCGTGAGGCTAGGCGGAGGAGAGCAGGCAGGGTTGTTGGCTCCTCAGTGTGTTTTCCTAAACAAGCCCGGTCAAGATCATTGCACTCTGTGGCTGAGTAGAATCTGGAGTTCTTCATGGCTGTGGTGAGAGGAGCTTTTGTAAGAACAGTGCTTTGAGGTGGGAGGAAGCTAAAAGTACAGCGATCCAGCACAGAATTAATTGCTGGCAGAGGAGGTGGGAATATAGAAAAGCATTCTTAATTATGGCAAAACTCCAGCCTCTCTACTGTTCTATGTAGTTCTTTTCAAATTTAACCCCATCTGAAGTTTCCTAGTTCAGTTACTTTGCTGGTTGATGTTATGGTGTTTGTTCCCTATCAGAGAAATGCCCTGAAGGCAGGTTGTTTGCCTGATACCTAGAAGGCCGCCATGGGTTAAAAAAACATGAAGAAAGGCAGGTGTCTGTCATGTAGTATTTGCCACTGTTTCAGCCTTGTGTCAGCAATGGTTGGATTATCAAATCAAGAGAGGTAAAATGTAAAGTGTTTGCATTGCCTGATAGAAGACCAGTGCTCTAAAGGAAATTGAAAAGGTAATCTGGCCAGTTCTTGTGGCTTACTCTGTAATTCTAGTACTAAGGAGGCTACAATTTGGAGGATCTTTAAAGCAAGCCCAGACAGAAAACAACTAGCACAAGACCAGGCTGGAGGCATGGCTCAAGTGGTAGAGCACAGCCAACTAAACCAGCTGTGCAAGTTCAAGACTCAAATGCTAGTACTGGCAAGAAAAAACAGAAAAAAATATTCTATAGGATATTTAGCTTGCAGTATTAAGTTTTTAAAAGATAAACTTCTAATTCTCTATGAATGATACTCTTTTTCTCCTATCAGTTTCATAAATGTACCTCTTCTATCTTTAAAATATGCATTGAACATCTCAAGTGGTTTGGTTACTAGGCTTGGAATGAGTCTAAGGAAAGTAACCTCAGGCCTCTGACCATGCAAGGGCCTACAGAGAGTTCCTGAAATAGCAATGGCAAGGCCATACCTCGTGTCAGATTAACGGTGGTGTTTAATATCAGATTTTAGGGATTTGAAATGCCCTGGGGGCTCTTTAAAGCAAACTTTTTTTTGTCAGTTGTGGGGCTTGAACTCAGGGCCTGAGCACTATCCCTGAGCCTTTTTGTGCTCAAGGCTAGCACTCTACATTCTTGAGTGGCTAGTTGGAGGTAAGAGTCTCATGGACTTTTCTGCCTAGGCTGGCTTCGAACCGTGATCCTCCGATCTCAGCCTCCTGAGTAGCTAGGATTATAGGTGTGAGCCACTGGCACCTGGCTAAGTCAAACCTTTGATTTCTTAGTCAAACTGTGTGTGTGTGTGTGTGTGTGTGTGTGTGTGTGTGTGTGTGTGTGTGTGTGTGTGTGTGTGTGTGTGTTACATTTGTGGGTTTCTTTGGGACAATCACTGCTTGTTTCTCTTTTCTAGCTGGAAACTTTTGGGGAAGAACATTGTCTGCCATCTCAAGTTCCACAGATCCAACCAGTTATGATGGGTTTGGACCCTTCATGCCAGGTTTTGAAATCATCCCATATAATGATCTTCCTGCACTCGAGGTACTTCAGTAGAATGATAGTGCTTGGCTCATAGTAAATAGAAACTATTTTGCATTAATTATGTCCTATGAATATGTTAATATTAAAAGTAACACTAAAGATGGCTAGGGACATTGATTAGTGGTAGAGTGCTTGCCTAGCACGCTTGAGTTCCTATGCCCAATACTCACTACTGCAAGATGGACTGACAAAGCACATTATATGACTTTGAAAGTGAACTGGAGCTAGGCCAATGTTGTCTTAGCAATAGTTGGTTTGTTTCCAACACAGGGAAAACTTATGACTAAACCCTGTGCCCTACCAGCCATGTCAGATTTGTGTTTTTCTTTCTTTCTTTTTTTTTTTTTTTCTGGTCGTGGGGCTTGAACTCTGGGCCTGGGTGCTGTTCCTCAGCTCTTCAGCTCTAGGTGAGTGTGCTCTACCACTTGAGCCACAGTGCCACTTCCGGTTTTCTGGTGGTTTATTGGAGATAAGAGTCTCCCGGGCTTTCTTGCCTGGGCTGTCTTTGAACAGTGATCCTCAGATCTCAATCTCCTAAGTAGATAGGATTACAGGCGGGAGCTACCAGCGCCTGGCAGATTCATGTTTTTCATAATAACTAGGGTATTTCCTGTTTTTGGAGTAAAATTATAAAATGGCATACTTTATTCAGTGGTAGCAGTGATTGAACCTAGGGCCTTTTGTGTGTTAGGTATGTGCTCTACCATTGAGTTACTTCTCTACACCCAAATGGAGTACTTTGATTAAAAAGTCTTAAAATGGCTACCACAGGCCATTTACATTAGGTTTTATCTATCATATATTTATGTGGTAGGAAAATGTAGGGATATTGTAATTTAATGAATCAAATTGTGAATCCAATGTCAGTGAGAAATGTTAATGTTTGTGAGGTGGAATATAAATCAGTGCAAAGCCTAATTTCTTAACTTTAGAGGAAAATATGCAATGTATGATTTCACATTTCCAAATATGGGAGAGTGGAAGTTTATTTCTTTTTGTTTTGTAGAGAGCGCTTCAGGATTCAAATGTTGCTGCCTTCATGGTGGAACCAATTCAGGGGGAAGCTGGTGTAGTTGTTCCGGACCCCGGCTACCTCGTGGGAGTGCGAGAACTCTGTACCAGACACCAGGTAGCCCATGCTAACTTTGTGATGCTGCCCAGCTGTCTCCTGCCTTGACTCTCCTTTTCTCTTTCTGCTGACAAGGATATGTTATGTGCAAAGACTAAATCTTCTGTCCACTAGGGGGCAATATCATTCCATGCTTAGGAACTTCTTACAAACCTGGACCAGGAAGCTTAACTGTCTGGAAGAAAGCCTAGAATCTGGGCTTATCAGAGCTGCAGACCTCCTGATCGTGTTTTCTTCCTTTCTTCCCTGCGGACTGAGCTCTTAATCCCTCCTGAGCCCCCTGCTCCCCCTTCTCCTACCAAAGCTAATACTGTGTATTTTGTTTGCCATCGACAGTCCAGAAAGAATCTGATAAATCTGATAAAAGAATTAATTTGTTTCCAGAGTGTAATCCTAAGCCAGAAAAAGCCCTTCAGACTTCTCACATTTGCTTAAGTGTCTTTCCATCCTGAAGAGAAATGCCAAATGGGCCCCTGGATATCTACAGATTTTTATAGAACACCCTTGAAATTCTGTGGGTAGTTAAAACATTTTCATAGATTGGAGGCCATGTCAGAATTCCACATCTGTGGGAAGAAGGAAGTGAAGTCATGGTCCCCATAGAAACAAATGACAAGTAATGTTGTTGTGTTACTTCCCAACAGGCCTTGTTCATTGCTGATGAAGTACAGACGGGATTGTCCAGAACTGGGAGATGGCTGGCTGTTGATCATGAAAATGTCAGACCTGACATAGTTCTTCTTGGGAAGGCGCTCTCTGGCGGGTTATACCCTGTAAGTCTTGTGTCTAGTCTGTCTTTCCTTCCTTTCTTCTCTTGAAATAGTCATCTAAAATACTTTTATATCAGCAGTGGCTAGAACTAGGGGAGGGAGTAACAGAAAATAAATAAGTCTTTATACCCACTGATGGTGACATTAATGCCTTTTGAGTGGTTTGCTTTTACCAAGTTGGTTATAGGCCACCAAATGCCCACACTAAGAATATTTTAGGGTTTCATTGTGTGACCTACATAGTTAATGTTGACTGAGAATGAGGTGTGTGGTGTTTGGCTTGATGTCTTCAAAGTTTCTTCTGCCTCTCCTTTTATTCAGTGCTCAGAGCCATGGCTCTGCTTCTTGTTTGACCGAGGAGCTTAGAGAAGTGTTGTTGCTCTTTTCTTGGTCTTGCTATCCAGAGCCCTAACTGGCACTGGTTGGAAGGCCACTTCCAGGTCATTTCTGCTGAGCTAGACCCTCTTGCTGAGGTGAATGCACAGCTTAGTTTACTCAACAGTTAGACCAAGTTTACCTTGGTGCTGTGAAGTCTGTCATTGCAAAACAGCTTTTCTCCGTAAGTTTCAATACTGTTCTGTATGTCTCAGGTTATCACCTTGGGGGACAGATGTAAACTCGTGCTTGTTGAAGTTTTTGATGGGAATGTATTGTCCACTGCATGTAAGCATGTGTGTTGCTGCTCTGAGCAATGAGCGGGGAACTGGCTGTCTTGCAGGTGTCTGCCGTGCTGTGTGATGATGAGATCATGCTGACCATTAAACCAGGGGAGCACGGCTCCACCTACGGTGGGAACCCGCTGGGCTGCCGCGTGGCCATTGCAGCCCTTGAGGTAAAAACTGCTGTGGCTGACAGGAGCGCCTTTAAGTGCTGGTGAACAAGTTCTCACTTGGGTCCGTGGTGTAAGGAGAGATTTAGTAAAAATGCCAAGTGTTGCTGAGCACTGATGGCTCGCCCGTGCCTGTAATCCTCCATATTTAGGAGGCTGAGTTCTGAGGATCAAGGTTTGAAGCCAGCCTGAGGATACAACTCCCAGAGACTTTTACCTCCAGTTAGCCAGCACAAAGCCAGAAGTGGAGTTGTGGCTTGTGTGGTAGAGCGCCAGCCTGGAGAGCTTATGAGGCCCCTAGTTCAAGCCCCCGTACCGGTACACAAAAAAGTACATTAAAAAATGCCAGTTATTAAAGAACACGATGTTCAGAGGAAAGAGTGGAGTAGCAAGGCAATCTAAAAGTTTACTGGTTGCCTTCCTAGCAGATGTGCGTTTCCTTCGAGGTTTTAGGACCCTGGGGCCCTAGCTGGCCCTGGTTGCTCTCACACTGTGACCTCCTACTAAGCCTCTCTGGCTCTGCAGCAGGCCTTCGGAGGACTTAAAGGGCTGGAGGTATTGCTTAGTGTTATCATGGAGTTAAGTTCCCATGGCTGTTGGTGTCATCAAACATTTCCTGTGTGTACAGGCCCTCCAAGGAACAATTCAAACCCCTTAGCATTTGTGTAATGTTTGTTTTCACGTAGGTTTTAGAAGAAGAGAACCTCGCAGCAAATGCAGAAAAAATGGGGACTCTGTTGAGAAGTGAGCTCCAGAAGCTTCCCTCGGATGTCGTAGCCACTGTGCGAGGAAAGGGGTTGTTGAACGCCATTGTTATCAGAGACACCAAAGGTAGGTGGAGATGCTGGTTAGTCCAGGCTAGTTTTGAAGGAGTGCAGTGGGGAGAGGGGCACTCTGGTCCTCTGTCGCCATCCACAAGGCTGTGGGCCTGTGGGTCAAGTCTTTCGGGCAGAGTATCCAACTTAACAGTGTATTCATAGCTCTTTCCCACATGAAGGCACATTTAACTAATATTCTTCTGACACATTTGTTAGGCCTTGGAGTTACTTCCTGTTACTTAGGATTGGGGAGTCCTCTGGTCCATTCTTCCTCATTTGAGTGCCTTGTACCTGGAAGGCTATGGAAGCAAATAGTAGGAGGCGCTGGTGGTAATGGGAGCAATGGTGGCATCTCACTTGATACCAGGTTTGGAGTTTCCACGCATTATCTGTCACCCCCGAGGGCTCCTTGCGGGCTCTTAGGCTAACCCTTCCTTGGAAAGGGTGAGCCAGCACTGGCTACACTTCAGAATCACCCAGGGAGCTTTTGAAAAAGTAGAGAGCCTGGCCTTACCCCCGAGGTTCTGGTTTGAAGGTGATTTCTGCCGTGCGGCGGGGCTGGGAACCATCCCTGTGAACTCTGAGTCCGGCTGTCATGCCCAGAGACACAGCTACTCGTGGGATGTGTACTGATCACTGACTTTGGGTATTACTCATTCTCTGGAGTATTCCCACGTTCCTATGCATTAGTTCCTTATGTAATTATAGTTAGCTGTCCCTAAGTAGAAAATCTGTAATACTCCAGATCTGAAACTTTGGTCACTATCATGACACCACAGGCAGAAAACACCATACTTAATGCAAATAGTTATAGTCAAATAAAATACTGTGCAAAATTACCTTCAGGCTCTGTGTAGGTAAATAAGGAATAGTCATGAATTTCCTGTTTCCAGATGGATGCTTTCTAAGGTATCTCATCTATATAGGAGACAAATAAGCACAACCAAACAAGTCCCAAGCACTTCAGATAGGGGACACTCAGTCTGGAACACGGCAGCCTTAGCCCATCTTGTGCTTGATTTTTCTTTTATGAAAAGCCAAGAAAAGTTGGACACTCGTGGCTCATACCTGTTACTATGGCTGCTCAGGAGTCTGAGATGTGAGGATCACAGTTCAAACCCACCTGCGCAGACACATTCTAGACACTTTTTTTTGGTCCATCATGGGGCTTGAACTCAAGACCTGGCCGCTGTCCCTGAGTTTTTTCACTCAAGGTGAGCACTCTACCACTTTGAGCCACAGCACCACTTCTAGTTTCCTGGTAGTTAATTGGAGATGAGTCTTAGGGACTTTACTGCCTGCACTGGCTTTGAACCGTGATCCTCAGATTTCAGCCTCCTTGAGTAGCTAGGATAACAAGCGTGAGCCACCAGCACCTGGCTTTCTAGAGACTGTTATCTCTAATTAACCAGCAAAAAGCCAGAAGAGGAGGCATAGCTCAAGTGGTGGAGCACGTCTCGAGTGAAAAAAACAAGTAAGAACGTAAGACTCTGTGTTCAAGCTCTGGTACTAGCATGAAGAAAAGAAACCTGGGTGCTGGTAGCTCATACCTACAATCCTCGCTACTTGAGATCTGAGGATCATGGTTCAAAGCCAACCCAGGCAGGAATGTCCATGAGACTTATCTCCAATTAACCACCAGAAGACTAGAAGTGGTGCTGCGGCCCCAAGTGGTAGAGCACTAGCATTGCATGAAAAAAATCTCAGGAGCCAGCGCCCAGGCCCAGAGTTCAAGCCTCATGACTGACAAAAACAAAAACAAAAAACAACAAAGACACACATCTATCTAGTTCTGTGTGTACCAGAAAATCAGGAGTAACTTAACTTTTTTTTTTTGGGTCCGGTTGTGGGGCCTGAACTCTGGGCCTGGGCGCTGTCCCTCAGCTCTTCAGCTCAAGGCTAGCGCTCTACCACTTGAGCCACAGCGCCACTTCCAGCTTTTTTCTTTTTGCTTATGTGGTGCTAAGGAATCGAACCCAGGGCCTTAGGCATGGCATGCAAGGCAAGCGCTCTACCACTGAGCCAACTTCCCAGCCCAGAGCTTCCTTTCTTTAACAGGTTTTGGGGATTCTCTTTTTGCGGCTGTCCATGTTGAAACATAATTGTTGGTCTTCCTGTGCGGCGCCTTTTCTCTGTAGATTACAATGCTTGGGAGGTGTGTCTTCGACTTCGAGATAATGGGCTTCTGGCCAAGCCCACGCATGGCGACATCATCAGGCTCGCGCCCCCGCTGGTGATCACAGAGGATGAAATCCGAGAGGCCGTGGAAATCATTAACAAGACCATCCTGTCTTTCTGAGGGCGAGAACCTCTCTGAGCCCCTGCCAGCGGCTGGGGAGCTTTGCTCTGAACTCGGCGCATTCCATCCCACGTGTCTTCAAAACTTTTCTTTTGTTAAGCACATATATATATATTTTTAGTTGATGCACAACAGGGTGACATTTGTGAACCTGCTGGAGACTGTCACATGACTAAGAATGAATGCATCTCGTGTGTGATTGCCCGTGGATGTTCAGGTGAACGGCATCCCTCTATCTGTATATAAACAGCCTTTAAATCAAATCTTCAGTGTGATTTATACATTTTTCTTATAACTTCTTTGCTGGTATAAATATTTTATATTTGAAACAATTACCTGAATTATCACATAAAAGATTTGCCTCAGTTTATAAAGTTGAAGACTTGCTTAAGTTTATAAAGTTGAGTCATGGTACTCATTGACTGTTAGATGACTAATGGCTAAGCACATGCTATAAGATACTAGTTTTAGAGAGTAAGCTTTATATTGGCCAACACCAGGAATGTATTGTATTGATGCCATTATTTTGAATTAAGAATCATTTTTAAGTTTAGATGCTCAATTATAATCTGTTCAAAAGCTTATTTCCAGTATTTCTTTAAACTTATAATGAAGCTAATGTAAATGATGGTTTGTGATCGGCATTCTGCCAGGGAGGAGATACCCAACGTCTTTGTACTCCTTCAGCACATTCTCCCCTTGCCTTTTTTTTTTTGTTGTTTTGTTTTCTGGTATTTTCGTTCTGTGATCTAAGGGAAAATGCAATAGAAAATCTAGAGGAAAAGTCTCTAACACTTTCCTGTCAAAGTACTAGCTTTTTCTTACACATTTGTTATTATTTTAAAGTTATCTTTACATGATATTTTACAACTTTTCTGTCCTTACCCCACATTAAAAAAATAGCATCAATAATCTGATTTTCTTTTTTCTTTTTTTATTCAAACAGCATTTTGTATTTCCGTGTTGGTAATTCTAAATATTTCTCATTCTCAAATGATGGCAGTGTTGGCCATAGTGTGAGTCACCGAATGTGGCTGTATTGTAAGTTCCTCCCAGCGCAGAACCTTTGGGCTTGTTTCCAGGATTTCACTTTAAATAAAGCTATGACTGCTACCTATTATAATGGTGTAATGTTTTCTCTGTATCATTTTTGTTAACATTTGTTGGATTTTCATGTGTTTTTGTGGCATAAATCCCTAGTAAGGGCTTGCTGTTCAAAAGAAATGAACTGAAGTTTACTAGTGTGCTGTTGCCCCCTGCTCATCCAGGTTCTGACAGTCGGGGAGGAGGCTGACTCTGTGGGCTGGCACCCAGGCCACGTCATTTCCCGTCTCCCCAGGGGACCTGCAGGCAGCAAGGTCCAGATAGAGAACCTCTGTGTTGATCATCTTATCATGCAGGTTCGTGATCACGAGTGTGCGTGTGTGCCTGTGTGTTCACGCTCAGTTTGATTTGCTACAGGCAAATGCAGAGGCAGCCTTAGAGCCCATGATCACACATGCAGCAATTCGCATTCTTCAGGGGAGAGAAGTCCTCTGAGCCAAGGAAGGAAGCTTCCTGTTCAAGCTGGCAAGGCTTTGATGTGTGGGGCAGCCGAGAGAGAAGTGACCAGCTAGAACCTCAGAGCCACAAGAGTGGGAAGGGAAGGGAAGGGTGGGGAGCCAAGGGAATGCAGAAGGGAGGGAAGCAGGGAAGGGGTGGGGCCTACTGCTGCGCTTCCATAGGCTTTGGACTGGACCTTGCTCTGTGGACTGTCGGGCTGTTGAGTCTTCACTCACCTGTGAGGAGGCAGGATGCAGGGATGCTGCCTATCAGGAGGCTGACAAGATGGAGGGAGGGGGTGAAAGCCTTTGACATGCTATTGTTGATATAAAATAGCTGTCAGGAAACCAGGACTCAGGTTGTTCTGAATGACGTGTTCCAGGTGGAGGAGGTTATAGGAACTTTATAGCAGTTAAGTGTGGCTCACATTGAGCATCTGAGGCCCTGAGGCTGAACCCCAGTACTGCCCAAAGAAACAAAGTGAGGTTTGTTTCATGTTCTCCACGGTAGGGCATGGCAGACACTGTGTAGGGAACACTTGGGGGTTTAGATGTGTGCATCACAATGCTGGCCGTGCACTAAGAGTCAGTACGCTTCCTTGCTGAAAAATAACATGTCCAGGCTCTGCCAAATCATAGTCTAGGAATGGAGTTTGGAGTTTGGAGTTGGATATTAAATATTCCTTGGGGAAGCCCAACACCTGTAATCCTAGGTACTCAGGAGACAGACCTGAGGATCCATGACAGTTTAAAGAAAAGAAAAAGCTGTTAGTGGAACTGGGCTGAAGTGTTAGAGTGCCAAGCCTTGAGTTTTTGAAAAGACAAGGAATAGTGGCTACACACACACACACACACACACACACACACACACACACACACACACACACACACACACGAAAGAAAATATGCATACGAACAACACACAGAGCTGCAGACCTTCCATAGGAAGAATATTGGGTGGGTGTGCAGGAATCTGGCTTAGAGTCTGCTAAAAAGCACTGGCTGCTTAACTTGGGCTCATGAATGCACTAAAAGTAGGAGAAAGGAAGGCTTGGTATCCCTGCCTCCATTTTGTCTTTTTTTGTCAGTTGTGGGCACTGTCCCTGAGCTCTTCAACACAAGGTGAGCGCTCTACCGCTTGAGCCACAGTGCCACTTCCGGTTTTCAGGTGGTTAATTGGAGATAAGAGTCTCACAAACTTTCCTGCCTGGGCATGATCCTCAGATCTCAGCATCCTGAGTAGTTAGGATTAAGGTGTGAGCCACTAGCGCCAGGCTTGTCTGTGTCTTTACAGCATACTTTCCGTTTTCTTGGCAATCCCTTTACAATTACCTTGATTCCAGAAAAGACAGGACAGACTGGCAACATCTTTAAGGTAAGGGATCAAAACTACCCCTGTGGCACAACAGTCTCCTGTGGATAGACCGCTTTCTGGGCACCCAGGCCTCAAGGGATGAAGCAATAACAACTCCTTGTTATGGAAACACAGGCTGAAATGATCAAGCAGCCTGCCCTTAGGCCAATCATTTGTATATTTCTCTACTTAAATGTTTAGCTTCTGTCTGTCCTCAAGACAGCTAAAGAGGAGCTGTTCTGCTTATATTGCCTTCTTTCTATACCAAGGAAGGGTGTAATAAATCTTTCTCTGCCATTTATCACGTCTCTATTTGGCATACAGGGAGAATTGCCAGACTTGACATGTCAAACTCTTGGAGTTTAGGCCTAGCTTCTCAAATCTCTGGTTCCACTTCTGGCTCAGGAATCCTCTCGTCATGGAGGACCCGCTGGCAGGACTTCAGGGAAATGAACAGCTGGAGGCCAGGGAGTGGATGCCACAGCGGCGGCAGGAAGGACCCAGATGGCTAAGGAAGTGGGGGATAGCCTCCATTTCTGCTCTTGCCTCTGTACTGGGTGACTTCAAGCAAGTTGGTGCCTCTCTGTTCTTCATGAAGAGGAGGTCGGGTTGGTGGTTTATTTTGCTGTGATGAGGGTCACACAGAGCCTCATATATACATAGCCTTGAGCCCAGGCTATACCACCACCAAATCCCACCCCTCTTCTAGGCCATTAGTAAAGGCATGGTCCTACTGGAGTTGATCTCTGGAGGTGTGCCTGGACTGAACCCCCAAGCAGTAAGCGCCTGGCTCAGGTGCAGTCTCAACCCAACTTGTGAAACCATAAAGGAGCCTGAATGAGACTTGCAGAAGCTTTCACATACAGACTGCCAGAGAGCTCCCACCATGGGGTTTGAAGATTCTCCTTGTGACTTAGTTTTTCTTTCCCTCAGTCTGGAGGGAGTGGTGGGGGAGAGGGGGAGGCGAATAAGCCTCTCCCGTATGGATGAGGGGTGTTGGCAGTGGGCAGGGGTGCAGCTGGGTGCCTCCTCCTTTCCAAGTAGGGCCAGTCTGGACAGCAGGGGGCGCTGTGGGCAAAGTGTTTCCAGCCTGGCCTAAGCGCCTTGGTGTCCAGCAGCATGCCTGGCTGAGTGGCTTGCAGGAGAGGACTATGTCCTTGTGCTGCAGGACGCTGCATTTGTGTCTAAGGTGCTAATGATTGTGACGATGGAATGCCGTTCTATAGACAATCCAGAATTGCAGATATGCGCTGGGCCTGGGTGGGGATGTTCTGAGCCCCTGGGAATAGCCAGCTCTCCACGAGGCTTGGACCAGCCGTAGCTGGAGGGCTGAGGCCTGGGGAGCTGCCACGAGGCTTGGGGACCAGCCGTGGCTGCAGGGCTGAGGCCTGGGGAGCTGCCACGAGGCTTGGGGACCAGCTGTGGCTGCAGGGCTGAGGCCTGGGGAGCTGCCACGAGGCTTGGGGACCAGCCGTGGCTGAAGGGCTGAGGCCTGGGGAGCTGCCTGGTGTGCTACCACACCCAGGGTGACCAGTGCTTGTCCCTGATGGTTGGGGCGGGGGTGTGGCCTGGTTCCTGGTGGGCTGTGGTCACCTTCGTGGGTGTGGCCTTGTTGACTGCTGGCCACCAGCCCTTGAGATGGGTGACTGTAGGCAAGTCTGGGCCGGCTACATCTGGCAGGCCCGGGTGGGTGGAGAAACACCCTTTCCTCACCCATCCTGGGTTTGGGGCTGGGGTAGATGCAACTGAACACAGACTCATAAAGAGAAAAGCATATACAATTACTGGGAAGATCAGAAGAAAGAGGCGTTCTGCGTATCTGGGCCTGACAAGAAATGTGTCATTGAATGTGGGGCACATGGCTGGGCCCGCGCTCAGGTCTCCTGTGCCTCTGTCTGCAGAGACCGGCTCTCCTCTTCTCCCTGAAGGCCTTAACCCCTTCCGGGTAGAAGGCCCACCACACGGGAGCTGTGTTCTCCAATGCCAAGGTGCCAGCTGATAGGTTGGCATTTTCTGATCACCTTCAACGCCTTTGGCCTAGACCCATACTTAGAACAGAAGAGCAGAAGCAAGGTGCTGTGTCTGTCTCCCGGGGTAGGTGTTTGCTGTCTTGCTTAGAGTAGAGAGGAAGCTAAGCCTTGGACAAGTCAAATCCCTCTGAGGTCTCAATCTCCTCATTTCGAAACTGGGGCAGCAGGTGGAGCTCAGAGTGATATTCAATCCTCAGTCCTGCTGGCAGGGTCCTCTGGCCTCCACCCTTCAGGACTCAGTCCCCCAGCCTCCAGGGTCACCCAAGGTGTGGTACACATAGGGGTGACTCTGCCCGACGGCGGGTTCCTAGGGTCTGGGGAGCAGCAGGAATCCAATGGGAGCAATGACACCTCCTCCTCCCACATTGCGAAAGGAGGTCCCGTGGGACTATGTTGAAAACGGGAATTTTGGTGGCTTGGGTAGCAGGGAGGGAAGAGAAGGAAGGTGCAAGAGGTGGACCTGGGATTTGAACTCTGGCCTCACACTTCCAGGGTTAGGACTTCATACCTCCAGCCTTGTTTTTCACTAGTTTTGATTTAAAAAAAATTTTTTTTTCTTTGTGCCGTACTCGGGCTTGAACTCAGGGCCTGGGTGCTGTCTGTCCCTTAGCTTTTTTCTCAAGGCTGTTGGCCTATCACTTGAGTCATACACCTCCACTTCTGGCTTTTTGCTGGTTGGTCAGACACATAAGTCTCTGGGATTTGTCTGCCTAGGCTGGTAAAAAACCTCAGTCCTCAGATCTCAGCCTCCTGAGTAGCGAGGATTACAGGCATGAGCCCCAGATGCCCGGCTTCACTGATTATTTTTCAGCTAGGATTTTGCTTCCCACACGGTGCGCACCTGCACTGCAATCCGCCTACTTTAGGCTGTTCATTTTTGCTGGGATTACAGGCACATACTGCCTTCGTTGGAGATGGCGTCTTTCGGACTTCGCTGCCCAGAATGGCCTGGAACTGATCCTCCCAATCTCACGCTACCTTGTAGCTTGGGACAACAGCCACATATTACCATGCCCAGCGACAGATTGAGAAGGGGATCTTGCCAGCTTTTCTGCCCAGGCTGGCCTTGACTTCAGCCTTCCAAGTGGGATTGCAGGAGCGAGCTGGAGGGTAGGATTATGGGTAGGACCCCTGAGCTGACGTTCCATCGGAGGCTCCTTCTTCCCAGAGAAGTGAGGACACCTGGAGCACTGGGGGCC